ATAATGAAATTTAAAAGCCTAACAGTTTTAAAATATTTGACTAAGATGAAGCATTTCAAATAAAAGAAAAACATGTTATGGAGTCCTTTTCTAAAAATATTGAAATTTGCCATTCATTGAAACATACTTATTTACCGTCGATTAAGAGCTATGCCTTCGCAGAAAGAGTTTTAATAATAAATATGTTAACAGTATCTTAAATATATAAGTTAACACCAAAGAAAAAAATTAAAAACTGTGTGAATGGAAAAAACATTCCCAGTTTACGTTACTACTACGACGTGAATGGATATTTGGCAGCTTTAACACATTGCGATTAGAAGGTTTCTAGATTAAAGCCCACAGCAAAGCGATCAGGGTACTGCTGAAAAATGTCAAATCATTTCGGAATATAGTTCGAAAATTGTTGTCATGTACTAAACGGTAGTTTTTATATTTTATAATCCTATTTGATCACAATGATAACTTGATATCTTAAAACAAGCAATTTCAGAATCTTTTTTTTATTTTCATCAACACTAGTCTCTTGAAACAACCTTTCTAAATTGCATTTTTCAATACAGGCAATCAACTTAGAGTGTCAAAGAAAGGCGAAGTACTGAGATCAGTAAATTGAAATTACATGGAAATTATATCATAGCCTTTTTAGTCAAGTGTATTGTAGGGATTCCTAAGAGATTTCACGTCAAATACAACGTCACGCTTTGTTAATGCTGGGGTCGAGTATTTCGAGTTAAAGGATTGTATTTATAAGAACGATAATGCTGAGAATTTTCGGGATGAGTGCTATGGGGAGATCAATGCAAAAAGGAAGAAACCAGAACTAAGTACTATCATCAAGTTCCTGGACTGTTACTGCTGGGAAAAATTCGCTAAACGGAGAGGCCAAAAGAAGTCAAGATCCTCCTTGCGTCATTCTACCGCTAACATCAAAATTTATTATATTGCATTTAAATTAAATTGCATTTTATTGCATTTTAAGTTATTTTTATTGCATTGAAATTTATTGCATTTTTTTAATGCGAGTTGTTTCCCCCTTCTTGTTTCATTTTGTGTGCAGTTTCGATTATAGATAGCAAAACCCAGCAATGCATTTTAACAAAATTTGAATGAGGACGAATAAATCTGCTTTGAAAATTTCTGAACGGTTCGTGTGGCATTTGTGGATGACTCTTTGGATCTGCCATCGGTTTTTTTAATAAGCACTTTCATTTCAAGGTCAAGTAAGTTTCACTTTAAGATCATGAATGTTCGGGCAAAACAAAACAAAGCCAAAAGAATACAATATATTAGAATAATAATCACAAACGTAATGAACTTTTGAAAAATTAGAAAAACAAAGATCATTTACTAATAATCGATTAAATCGCAGAAAACGTTGGATTCAGTTTCAGAAAATATTTAACACAAAATTTAATATGCACTGAATTGCCGCAAAACTTATTCCTTAACTATATAAATGATATAAAGGAGCACTGCATGAGAGTATGCAGTTTTTTTCTTTTTTGTGGCAAATTACAACATTTTCTAACTTTCTTAAAAATTCACTGTAATTTCGCTCTATTCCGTAAAATAAGTATGAAACTAAAGTAAAGAATTTTTGAAACTGTGCCCGACATTCACTTTGAATCGCACGCTGGTCTTCGTCTCTTCAAATTAAAACTACCGCAATATTTTTGAAGTGCTCAAAAACCGATGGGATCGCTCTATAACAGTGGTTTCCAGCCTTTGTCGTGGATTCCCAAATAATCCGAATGCACTTCCCCTGGGCCTCTGTAGCCATTCGAGGGAAAGAAAATAAACAAAAGTTCATTATTATTAAAAGTTCAGAAACAAAATGTAAAAGAAAAATATTAAGTACACTTTGAACGGAAATATTAATTTTTCGCCTTCTCTAATATAAGAAGCTTCGTCTTTCTGCTACCACTAGCTCCAAAATCATAGTAGCGGGAAATGAACATACGAGGAGCTTTAACAAGACGCCAGCTTGTTGCAAACACTCTGCCGTGCGCTGCGTTTTAATAGTTTTTTTCTGGAACTACATGCCCAAGTGATTTCTTTGAACTGTACACTCGAGAAGTTTATCGCTTCTTCTCGACTTTTCGACAAATCTTGAGACGTAGCCCTATGTAAATAAACGTTAATCTGTGAAATTAGACTCACTTCGTAATGAGTTTTCCTGACAATAACATTTTAATTTCTTAGTGATTCTTCCCCGAGTTTTCTGTTCTCTTTGTGAGAGTGTTTATTTAGATTTCTAGTTAGTAAGTGTTTATAAATAAAAAGTTTTTTTCAATTATTTCAGCTACTGAAACGTTTTTCCACTAGCAAAATATTACATTATTGGTTGATTTAGACTGACTGAAAGTTACTGACTTTCTCCGTTGTATATATGCTTTTAACGTAAACTTTGGCCTCCACATGTATCAAAAAGAAAATACAGAAGCCTTTTAAATAAAGAACTAGGCATTAGATCATACGTATCATTTGCTGAACCTAAAATAAAAACTGCGCTAAAAATTACTATCACAAGTGTCAAATTTATATACATCATTTTATATTATGTCTTATACAGGCCTACTGTTTCATTACAGTGTTCTTTATTTGCATTCTAACTAGTAAAACTAAACTGGAATTATATTCAATAATGAATAATAAAATTTTTAAAGCGCTAGTAAGGAATGTTTGTATTTTTGGAATTAATTGTATGCGATGGTTAAATTGGAGGAGCTCTAGATTTTATACTAATATTTCGTACTGCTGTTTTCAGCAATGACGTAAAGAAGGTTACAATCCAATGAACGGTTTATGTATTGCATTTTGGAACAATATTATGCATGGCCAAATTTTGATAATATCATATATACTAGTTAAATTCAAAATATGAGAAATTTGAGAGGTTTCAAAATTTTTAATTATTGCAGAGACTTTGTGCAATATCTTAATATTGTTTAATTGTCCCTCTACACGGCATTACTATCCGTCCTCTCCCCCTGTAACACTACTTCTAATCACTATTAATTTATAAAACATACGATAGGTCTAACTGGCTCCAACTTAAAAAATTATTCTAGAAAGTGCTCGGCGACTCAGAAAAGTTGGAAACCGCTGCCCTATATTTTATAAGAAAATTATCTGATGTAGCTGCCGAAACTTATATATAATATATATATAAATATGTATACGCAACTTTTTTTAACCGCGTCCAGGAACGTTTCACTAGAATCTACTATAGAATAGCCTACAAGGTGAGGCAGAATTATGGCTAGATGTTTGAAATAAGTATAGTGTGATACTGTATATCGTAGAGGGAAATCGTGAATGGTACGATAAGCCCTTGGTCAAATTTTCATTTAAAATAAAAGTCACGCTTCAGAGCTAATGTTAGTAGTCAGGATTACGATTAACATGAAGCAGTACATTACTGTTGCTGCATGGGAGATTATTTGCAAAATTGATTAGGTTAATAGTCTGGCGAGAAGCAATTTTATGCAGGATTCAAGCCATCCACAGTAGGAAGATAAAGGAAACGAATGATTAAATTAGGAAACTTCGAGGAAAGAAAATCGTTTTGAAGGACATTCAGTAGCACCAATGTAAAAATATGTATAATGAGCGTGGAAATGTTCGCTAATGATCCACAGAAAAATCAGCAAGACGAACCTCTCATGTTATTGTTATACACTCTGCACACACACAAAAAAAAGGACAGATCTGTATCTCGTTTTCTACTGGATCGATTGATGAAGTTTAACTTGGGTTTTTCACGTCTCCAAAGCACGACTTAGAATATATATTAAATTTATATATAGCATTGTTCTAATATAGGCATTTTGATATAAAATTGGAACTTTTTCTAAAAATGGCATACCGATTATTTTTTCTAAATTTCGATTCTACCACTCAAATTATCTTTATATATTCAATTTGGTGAAAATTGGCGAGAAACTTTCCGAGAAATTCAAAATTGTATCTTGGCGCTCTTTTTTCACTCTTCTGCAAAAATAATTATTTCCCTTCCTGAAATTTTTAATTTATGATAAACTATCTTCGTTTCCCTTTCATTGTACATGAGACGAAAGTAAAGTGCATCTTTCCTTCTTTCAAATATTTTTTTCTTTATATTATACTTTTTAAATCATAGTTGTTATTTTTAGATAATTTTTTCTTTTAAAATTTTAGTTTAATTCTTTTTGAATTGCATGGTTTCTTCAAATCATTTTCCTTCCAATTAGCGAGCAGTTAGCAATTAGCTGTCGATGGCTTGGCCACTGCTAAAGCAGGAAATGGTGACCCGTTCGTTTAATTGTGAAAGCACCAAATAGGTGGGCCACACTCCTTTCTATTTGAAGGGATGGACAATTTACAGCTATAACTTCTCCGGAACACATACCTTCTACGGGACGTCTTATTACAGCTATGCCAGTGCTCTTCGGTATCGCAATAGTTTATCATCCTACTTTTATAATCCTACTTTTAGTTTCTTAAAATATTATTCATATTTTAATCAAATATTTTTCTTTATAATCGCAATAAGCAAATAGCATAAAGTTTAAAACTTTTTAAATTGTTAATTAAAAAAGTACTAACTTTTATGCAATAAATTCATGTTTACTTCTTAATGCTGTGTCTTTTTCTTTACGCTTTCCTCGAACTTATTAGAAATCAAACTCCTTTTTTTGTTCGTTATATACCCCCAACATTTCTGACACATCTTCGTATTTCTGAAATTCACATAAGTAAAGGTGTTGTCTTCCGTTTCATCAGTATTTGGTCAGAGCAAAAACGTGAAGCTACTTTTACCACGATACCGAACGTATTTAGAGGCTAGGTATTTTGAAGACATCAGAAAAAAGGAAAGATTGGTTTTATCTATAGGGAAATAGTCCTTAGTTTATATCTATATATATCCTGAGATTAATTCTTAAATCTTCAACTAATTTAGCAGAGATATCCCCTCTCCCCCCGTCTGCAGATAGATGGAGCTTTTTCCCCATCTGTCAATGCAAGGATATGTTTAAAGTTCGTAGACTATAGGAACTCCTCGGATTCCCAGCTATCAGCGCTCCGACGCTAGTCGCAGATTTCGGTCCTTAGAAGTAATCGCTCTTTTCATCGCTCCTGCTCTAGCATCGGATCTGATTCCTACGGAGTCATCATTATTCGCTCTTTTCATCGCTCTTGCTCTTAGTTTGCTTTGAAGAAAAGGAATCTTGATGATAATATTAGGGAACCTTTCAAATGTAAACAACAGTTTGTTTCAGAACTTCGCTATGTATAATGAAATATCTTAATATCATGAAATATCTTTGGACATGAAACATCTTTAAAATCATTTTTATTTTTTGCCTTTACTAAACACAGAATCGATAAAAAATCCTTTATTCTATTAAATTTTGCTTGTGTTAAATGTTTCTGCAGCAGAAGACTGCATGTTTTATTTACAATATTTTTGTATTGTTTGATGTACTGATAAGTACTGAATACATATATGATGCAAAATTTTGAAACCAACAGAATAAATTTCGTTGCATATAGAATGAAGTTAAGTAAAATAGCAGACGATAGCATGTCGAAGATAAAAATATACACTTATGAAAGAAAAGAAAACTTTAAAAAACTTTTGATTAATATTCTTTATAAATTTAAAAAGATAGCTTTTCATATATTATTAATAAATATTTATTAGGAATTATAAATAAAATAAGAGAGAAAAGGAATTCCTTGTGATAAAGCCTCAATATTTTTATTTTCGAAATTTGTGAATTCAATTTCGATTGAGGAGCTAAAATTTTGAGAACCAATTTCTAAAAACTTCTCTCGAGATTTTGAGAAAACTTGGCACTTTAGCATAATTTGAATAGCAGAATCAAAATGTGAAAATTTCGATATATCATTTTGCAAAAGTCTGATTTTGTGGCAAAATACCTATGTTAGAACAATGCTATATATAAATGTAATGAATATTTTAAGTCGCGCTTTCGAGACATGAAAAGCGCAAGTTAAATTTTGCCAATTGGCCCAGTAGAACGGGAGATATAGAATTCTCCATTTGTTCTTTTTTTGTTCTGCGCAGAGTTTACATCTACTCGGGAATATCTCGTAAGCTCGAAGAAATGAATTTCTAATGGACCTGACTTATTTTACATAGTCATCATCAGACGATGTGATCAAACATTTAGTAACGTTTCTGAATCCTCTGTTTTGTTTAATTGCATATCACATTACGTACTTTACCATACAGTTACTTAAATTATTTTGTCTCTTATTTCTATGTAATATCAGGAGCTGGTAATTTAAACATTATGCAGTCCTTCCACTGCCTTTTCCAAACTTTCTTTACCCAAAATGTGTCCGATATGCGAATAATAATCTAAGGGCCCCATGATACAAATTTTTGGCCTTAGACTCATCACTAGATCATCGGCGTATGATCACCATCAAATTTCCTTGCCTTAGGCTAAAAAGATTATTTCTTCAATAACTCTCGCAGCTCAGTTTTCAGAATTATTAAGTATTTACAAATAATGAAGCTGTACAGCATAAACCACATCTGTATAGTACTTTCAAGATCCTCAATTACTTACAAATGTGAAGTCCTTCAACACCTATGAATACATTTGGGGAAATGGGGATTTACTGTCCATATTAGTGCATTTCACTCGGTATTTGTAAATTACAGGTGCTCTTCACACTGCTGTTACAGTGCCTTTTGTAGTTATATTCAGTCGAACTGAATCAGTTTCAGTTAAACATTTAAGAGATGTAGCTCTTTCTCGATTGTTCATCTCTATATTAACATCTTGGTTAGAGTGTCCAGGCTGGGGCGTATTATTCTCCACTTCACGATTCCTTGTAGTCTCACACATTTGGAACATACGCGAGTCATTGAGAAAAGGCAGGACTGTCTTAAATTCTTTACGAAAATTTTCATTCAGCCATGCATAAAGAAAAGGGTTGTAACATGTGGAGCTCATTGCAATAGCATGCGATAAGAAAAAAAATCCGTTCAAATAATCCCATGTACTTGCAGGTATATAAAAATCAACTATGAGGTTATGCACGTTTAATGGAAACCATGAGAAGCCAAAAATTAAAACCATCGCAATGAGCATTCTGTTGAGTCGTCTAGTGCGCTCCCATTCCAACTCCATTTTCTTCTGAGAATTATTTCCGGGTTTGTATCTCGCTCTGTCTCTTAGTTTGCAGCATACTCTAACGTAACAGAATGTAATGATCAGAAATGGTACGACAAATTGCAAGACTGAAGTGGTGCAGCCAAATACTTTGCGGAAAGAATCATATGGCCATCCTTCGTCGCAGTATGGCCTTCCGTCCCCTGCTGGAACAAGGTCCATAAAAATACCATATGGTAAAGTAAGCAAACCAGCCGCTATCCATATAACCATAACAATGAGTAAACTGTATTTCAATTTAAGGCGGGGTTTGAAGGGGTGAATTATTACAAAAAAACGATCAATCGCTATGGACATCAGTGTGAAGGCAGATATGTATACGCTAACACCTTGAGCATATGGGACGAGGTGGCACAATACTGCGCCAAATATCCATTCATGCATAAATAAGTAGAGTGGTGTGAATGGGACTGCGAAAGTGCAAAGTAGTATGTCAGATAATGCTAAATTAGCTATAAAAATGTTCGTAACGGTATGCATAGACTTATTTCTAAATACGACGTAACATACCAATACGTTTCCACATATCCCTATCACGAAAATGCTGGTATATAAGCAGTAAAAGAAAGCCTTAACAGCAGGTATGCTGGTAACTGGATCAGGTGGTAAAACTGACTCTCTTTGGAAGAGAGTAAGGTTGTTGTCTTCCATGTTGAGATTTAAAAAATCCACTGAAAAATTTCCTGTTCGAACAAGAGCAGCAAGAGCTATGTAATGATTAATGTGAAGACCGCTAGCCATCACAATAAATCACTACAAAATTCCTGCTCGAGCTCGCGAATGACAGGACCCTACTAAAAAGAGCAGAGTGATTTTGTTTAAAGAGTTTCCAGAATTTGAGCAGTTCATGTAACAGAAGTTTTATTGTACTATGCTTTGCCTATTTTTCAGAACGCTCAGTATTTCTTGTTAAAGATTTCAAGGAAGTAAGAAAGAACCAAAATCATCTCCCAGTTGTCTGGAATCTGAAAGAAAAAAAATCATTAATGAAATTCTTGATCCTCATTACCAGAGCAATTATATTAACTATAAACAAAAACAGAACATAATTAGCTATCATTTTATATACAGAATATTTTCTACACCGCTGATTATTAAAATTGCTACACCTAGGAAAGATAGCAAATAGCAGAATTTTGTTTGTCGTACTTATACAATTATTGTACATATGCATTGTATATAATGGTACACGATATGATTTTAAACTTGCATGTGGTTTGGGGTCCACTGCGTCTAAAACTCAGCACAAGGAGTGCTCTAGCAGCAAAACGCTTCTAATCTGCTGGACACTTAGTCGAACTGAGGTTGGAGTAACGATACGGCTATTTCCTTCCATGCGGTTTCAACTCTATGCCAGAGTTCAACAATCTTAGTGGCTACCGAATGATGGTGTGAAAGTCTCTCGACAATCCATGACCAAATATTCTCAATGGGTGACATACCTTGTAGGGTTTCTCTTAGTTCAATTAACAAATTATTTAAACTTTCGTTATTTTTCCTAAACTCCTCAACTTCCCCTCGCATTTCCTTGCCAGGATGCTAATTTAAAGTTAAGGGAAGAGAGTATTTAAGAGGGTTAATTGTGGAGTTTATTTAGAGCGTGCTTTCGCTAACCAGCGCACGTTACGCATCTATCCTTGCTGATACGCCTTTTGGCCATTTAAATAATTAGCACGCCGGGAGGTTTTCGAGTCAACCTAGTTAACCATAACTTATAGTCCAGTACTACTCTTTAGGCTTGAATTGATTTGCGTAACAACTCTTAAGTTCCAACGAAGTTCTCGGTGTTATTGTAAAGCACGAAGTGCGTGCCTTTCTGTTTATACTTGATAATAATAAAGGGTTATTTTCATTATTCTTCTGTGCTGGTATTATTTCACACCTGTGCCAGAAGTCGCCAGGTTCCTTAGTAGGATATAGTAGGGTTTATGTGGCCAAAGAGAGCAAGATCCTATAACCTGAAGAACATTTTGGCTAGGGCACTAGTCGAACACTGTCTGTTTCGAGGAAGGTCAAAGCTGCACCATCAATATACGAATGTGCATATCTTGCTGAAAGATGGCATTACGCAGGCCTGGAAGTAAGGGCACAATCACGGGTCTTAACGCATCAGAAATGTAATGGCCACGATGCATATTACGGGCTGTGCGAATAAAAGGAGACTTCAAAAATGTACCCAATGTCACCCCATACCAGCCCTCCAGGTTTTGGGTCCATATGACAATGATGTAGCAAGCTGACAACATTCGTTTCCTCGGTGCCTCCAATCCAGGGATAAATAGAAGGGCTTGGTCATTCCTTTGTTCGACTCCTCGCCGACGCGAGCATCATGGAGGGGGTTAACTGGAAGTAATCTGACGTGTCTGTGTTGCACCTGCTCTGATTTCGTGCGTTTATAACTGTAGTTTCATTCAGTTGCGAGACAATTTTCTGGAAGTCGCATATCCCAAATTAGTTTTAATCATACATATTTATTTTCTAATAATGCAAATATTTAATAATTTGTGTATATATATACATATATATATATATATATAGTTTTAGTCAGTTTTACTTTTAAATTCTATATTTAAAGTATCCTTTATGTAATATGGCTTCTTGTGCTCTAGCAACGTGCCTTAACACTTATAGAAATACGAAAGGAAGATATATTGTATTTCATGCTTTCCCAAAGGACAATTTGCTTTTGTCGAAAGAATGGATACAGAAATGTCGAAGACATATTGTCAGCTTCAATTTCGTTCTCGGCTTCAAAATAAATTTTCTTTCAGCTTAATTCGTGTAGTCTTTCAAAAGCACTCTGCATTAGTTTTCTTTTCAAATGTCTCCTATTTCTTGGTGTTATTTCGTTTACTGCACACGATAAATTTACTTTAGGCACACTATTGCATTTCAACAGTTTCTTTTGAGGCAATCCAAGCAAGCGATTTCTCATGTCATCTTCATAATCACTGTACAGAAATGTTCGCCGCAAATTCTTGCGTTTTTGTGAATGATTTTGAAATGAAACTCACAAGTGACAATGCCCTAAGTGACAATATCCCTGAATGATCTAAGTGTAAAGATAAACAAGAATGTATTGATAATTTGAAAAAAAAAACCCTTGAAAATCGTAATAAAATATTGAAAAGTAGAGAAAAGAAAAATTTTATAGAATGTTTGCTCAGCGACAAAGGTGGACGACATCTAGAAAGAAATTTCTAACGGAAATTCAGAAATTAAAATCTCAAACAGCAAAACTTGGGAAAAAAACAACACAGATCGGAGAATTTGGAAAAACGTCTAAAGCATATTTTTACAAAGACGCAGATTAGCGCATTGCTAGAAAAGAAGGGAAACTCCAGGTGGACTAGTGAAGATATTTCAGGTTGCATTGTCATAAGAGCTCTGTAGAATACGTTTCTTAAATAGAAATGCATGTTTTTACCCAAAGAAAAGCAACCCAAAAGGCAAAAAAAGGATTTGCTTCAAATGTGGTAGCCAATAAATAATATTTCAACAACTTGTTGTTGCACTGTGGCTGTACAAGTAAGCATATATAATATGTTTTGATTTGAAATATTTCTAGATGACATTTTAGAAGTTAATAATTTTAGAAGTTAGAAGCCTATTTCAAATGAGAACTAATTTTGTTAAGTTATTGTTAAAATTATGTTTATTGTATCCGGTGTTATTATTGATCGGATTTTGTACTAGCTTAGCATTCTAGATAAAATAAAATAGTATAACATCAAAGTACTTAGCATAACAAAACCTGCCTCCTTAACCCCAACTTTTGAAAAATTAAATATTTTTTTTTAGGTACTGTGAGTAAAGTTGTTTTGCCTAAATTAAGATAACAATCTTACATGCATTTATTTAAATGTAATATTGATGTAAGCCTAAGTTACAAAATTATTTAAAAAATATATGTTATTATATTGAATCGGGAGAAAAATATGCCAATGTAAAATTTACAATTAGGCTGAAACTCAAACTTAGATTAGCAGAAATTTTGAAAATTATGCCAATTTAAGGTTGTTTTTTTGATTAATTTTAAATAGCTATTATTATATTTATCTTAGAAGCAGTAGTACAGTTCTCTTAGTTAACGTGCAGATAAAGAAATGATTAGAAATAAACAGGCATTTAAAGAAAAAAATCCCTGCAAATTTAGAAAAAAGGAACTTTATGCTAAGAGTAGCGCATTTTATCTGTTTCTTTAAAATTGAGTAAGTACTATTAAATTTTTTAATGCTCAGTGTAAAATGCGTACTGCAGTAACATTGTCTCTTCTAAATTATAGCTATCTTTCACACACAGCTCATTTTAAACGCTGGTTCTTCAGATTTAAAACGCTAATTTCTATGCTGTCAATTGCATCTCCGCACTCAGTGTCATCATGGGTACGTCATCACTCCCCACTGCCTGTTTCAGGAAAAAAAACCTCTATGAGCTAGCCCTTCTCTTTTAAGTCCTGCCTCCAATCATGGATACTTCGATTATTATGCTGTTCGCAGAACCGGGATTCGCCTGAAAAGATGACGTGAATCCATTCATGTGTATAGGGTTGTCGTTCGTTGCACCACTGTGGGCTCTGCTGTCTCCGCTGCAGCTTCAAAGAAAGCCGCAACAATGGTCGCCGTGATGACAGTCCTTGGTGCTGCAGACGTCCTTGAACTATCTGTGAAAATTCTTGTCATCTTGAACAAGAGCCAAGTTCCTAACTTAGGATATATGACATAGCTGTACGTCAAGACCGAAAGACCAGCTAGATCCAGCAAGTTCGATAAGACAACGTGCCTCTCCTGTTGGATGTTAGTGGCTCGAGACCGTCCGGTTGGCCGTTCAATATGACTCTTCTGGAACCATTAATTTCATATTCCTCTGACAGTCATAAGATCCCGACTAACATAAGAAGTGGTGTAAAGCGATAAACTGCAGTTCTGACAGGTCATCACCCTGCTACGGTCGAATTGTGACACGTGCTTCTAGGAATTTCTCATTCCTACACGAGCTATAATATGACCTTAACTGAACCAACGTTCAAATTCGATTTTCGAATGAGAACCATGCTTTCCATTCTTTCCATTTACACGCAGTGTATATGGCGTTTTTCATACCTGCTCTGTGGGAGTGTGTTGCAAATTTGACGTTTGATGCATGCCGCTTTCATGGTGTAACAATTTTAATGCATTGTAGCATTCCGAGTATAAAATATTATTAATTCCAGTTTAGTTGTCTGTGATTGGCAAAGAAGTACCACAACACTGTACATTTATAAAATTTAGATTAGTAATAAAATTTTCTTATGACTAAGACTTATTCAAGGGTATGTTAATTCTAGGGATAGGAAGCATCTATTAGCTCAATTGAAACAATGCAGACTTAAGAGAATGAAAACAAAGAATTTACATAAGCTATTAAGCTATTAAGCAAAGGAAGAAAAGCATTTTAATATTCCCCTTAAAGAAATAAATATTTTATTTTTGCAACAAAATTACAGCTAGTTCACACTATAGAGCAGTAACAATTCAATATACTGAACAGAGAAAAATTAACCCTTTTCAGATTTAACACGAGTATTCGTTACACTCTCTCCTATTTTGTTTTGCAGAACCCTCAAAATGATTTTTCAGCTTCCAGTTTGTCGTGTATCAAGATTATTATGTGTTTGGATGCAAAAGTAGCCAAAATAATATCTGGAGCTATTTTATCTAAAAGCAACATTAAGATAGAACGGGAGTGCGAACTTCTGACCATTTTACAGAGAAGTAAATATCTCACACTCAAGTTTACAAACAAGACCATAGGCCGAGACATGGGGCACATCTCCAGAAGGACGTTTGAAAATTGGAGCAACAGGTCAAGACTTAAGAGGTCATCTACTCTGAAATATGACAAATAGATCAGAGAAAATATTGGTCTCAAACATGACACCTACACTGTCCTTCAAGAGCCTAACCTGCCCTCTTACATCCCCATTAACACTGAAATAAATCTCGATCTGGTGGAACATTGTACAAAAAAGAAATTTGAAGCTGTTATCAAGGCAAAGAGTACTAGAACAATTGAGTCTTTTTTGGGAGCTGATTTGGTAAAAATTTACACAAATGCTTCATCAGATGAGGCTAAACAATTGGGTGGAACCGATATTTACATCACTCTACCAAATGGAGAAACTATACTCCAAAGCCATGGAACAGGCAACGTCGCTTCCAACTTCACATGTGAATTAAGAGCAATCCAGGAGGCCCTAAGAATTTACATCGACTTAAATGATAATGATAAAATCAGAGGACTTGTAACTTACTGTGCCTCTGCCCTAGAGGCAATACTTCAAGGACATTTAAGACTCACTCATGATGTACACCAACACCTAGAAACAATCAACCAAATGGGAAAGACATGCACTATGCAATGGATACCTGCACATATTGGAATCGATGGAAACGAGGCAGCCGATGAACTGGCTAAAAAGGCAAGAAATCTTAGCAACTCAATCCCTGTCACTCTTGAAGATTCTAATGTCATTGCCCGATATTGACTCAAAGGGAAATCTAGACCATCAGATATGTGAGATTGATGCAAACAGAGAAATTACAAAGACCATTACTAGAATGTGAACCTTCCATTTCAGAGGAATGAAAATTACCGAAGATGGTACGAGATCATAAAGAACTTTTAAAAACTGCCCCGAAACGGAGCTTTCTCCAGAACACATCTTCACCTTACCGGCAATACTTTGCAACTCTGCAAAGTTTCGATAATTTCCTTTCCAGAGAGAGCTGTATTGTGAAAAGATTGTCTAACTGGCAATAGCTGTGATCCATTCGACTTCTCGAAGGACACGACACCAACCAACCAACCATTTATAAGGTTTTTGAGTGTTAATTAACAAGTTATTTTATATTTACCAACTTTACTGACACTTGTCACTTCCATTTTCTCACCAAAAAGCAAATATAGTTCGTGAGTATTTTTGGTGAGATTTTTAGAATCAGAGCGTGTTCTACCTCTCGAGGCCACATTACCAGGTTGCTAGATAAGATAAACTGTGTAGTCTACGGCCTTGCATTATAACTCATTTGTTTTGAGCGACCGTATTACTCAAGAACATTGTAAAGACATTAGGTTTATTTTTGGAAGCCGGAGAGATGAAAAATTAGCAACACCTTCACCGGGAATCGAACCACGGACCTCTGAAATACCGGCTCAGTGTGCTGACCACTACAGCACGAAGGCACGCTAGGAAGGCGGGAGAAATACCTTACATACTCCCCTTTTTAAAGGCGACTAGGGTTTTTAGGGGACCCAGTCGCCAAATCCTGGGTGTGGGGAGTCATCATACACAACCCTTTTAGTTCGGGCACCACTGTAGAGACATTAGTTTATTTTGAAGCAGGAGAGATGAAAAATTAGGAACGCCTTCGCTGGAAATTGAACCACGGACTTCTGAAGTACCGGCTCAGTGTGCTGACCACTACACCACGAAGGCACGCTAGGAAGGCGGGAGAAATACCTTACAAATGTAAATATTTACGTAAACGCTCAGTGTAAAATTATTGTATCAGTGTGTCTTCAGTGTCTAACGTTTGTGCATATAAAATACAGAAGAGCATTTTTTTATATATGCGCAACCGTGTAGAACACACAACTGCGCCACAGTGTGCTCTATAGTCTCAGAAATAACTTAGTATAAAGTTTTAAAATATCAGTGTAAAATATCCTTATAAAGTGTCCATATATACACAATAGTTGTAAAATATATGTTTTCATCTAAGTGTATATTCCGAGTCTAAAGCTATACGTGTCCATGAAATGCACTCTGGTGATTTATCTGTAAATATACGCATCAGCATAGAATATGTACACATGGCAAATAAAGTGAAATCAGTATAAAATGTTTAAATATCAGTATCAAATGCTTATGTATGCTACTGTTTAAGTAACAGCTACTGTTAACAAAAATGCACCAGGGCAATTTTTATTTATGTATGCCCATTATTGTAGCACTGTGTGCGTCCCAGCGCACAATTAATGAAAAGTGCTTAAATATCGGTGTAAAATGTCAGTGTAATTGCTTATGTAATCACAAAGACGTATGCAAAAGTGGTGAACAGACTTTTATATATAAGTGTATCCCCGGCGTTTAATCCTAAGTGCCTATAAGATGCATCAGGCTATAAAGTATTTGCACACTCGAAGCGAATTCGAGATGCCCGTGGCGAGGGCATTGCTCATTTTTCGCATCCCCTGGTTCGATATAACCTAATGTCTCTACAAGGCTAATATATGTTTAAATATACACACTAGTGCAGATATTTTGCATGTATCATAGTAAGCTCAGTATAAAAGATATAAATTTCATTGTAAAAGTCTATTAACATTATTATATATATGCAACGACATATGCATTAGTGTAAAATAGATATTTTGTATTAACGTATTCGCAGTGTCTAAACCTTTGTTCGGATAAAATGCACTAGGGTAATTTATGTTTATATATGCGCAACAGTGAGGAATTTATATGTTTCAGAGTAAAAGCATGAAATGTCAGAATATCAGTTTAAAAATATTAGTGAAAAATGCTTAGATATCTGTGTAAAATTTCAAATAGCTATTTACAGTATCAGTGTGACAGCATTATCAGTGTTAATAGTCTACAATATCATTGTATGAAACTATTATCTTATACCTTGCCCCTTTATAGCCATGTACGGTTAAAAGTTCCTATTAAACTCCGAACGTCGCGCTTGGAGCCAAGTAGATCTTGCAGTGTACAATTGCGGATTTCAAACGATAAAATCTAAATGATTCTTGTAAACCGATCGGTTGTCCGGAAACGCTGTCTTTTGTCAGCTGTCATCTGCCAGTCTATTACAGTTTATGATTTAGTTGCAGTTTATGATTGCCAAGAAAGTTTCTAAGCTTTATAGTGGGTCCAGAGCGAAAGTAAAGAGCATGTCTCAAGAAACTTCAACATTTAGTCTGGCCCTCTTATTATCGCAGGCTGTCTAAGTTCAAAATAAAATATTTAGATTACGACTGTAAGAATCTTCTGTGTTACTTTCCTTGAGAATTTCAACAGTGTGGGTCTATAAAATTTAGGAATAAATTCGAGCAAAACTGAATGTTGAAGAAAACAACGTTCTTATGTCTTAGCCTATTGTTATATGCTTAGGGGCTCGTAATGGATTCAATGCATACAGAACCGATGGTGACATGATCAAATTCCATTTTACCAAAACAAACATTTTACAGTTCTGGAAGTTTCTACAAAAATACTCCTACAGTTCTTCTCAGTATGACAGAGCACCATTAAGAGTTCCTAATTCAAACTCCTAAGAACGTTAAACGCAACACAATACAAAGCGCTTGTAAAGAGCGACGCTGGCACGGAGCATGCATCTCAATACTCCAAAGTCGAATCTGAACTAAAAATTGAGAACTGATGCTCTCTCCAGTCGTATATAGTTCCCTCCCCCTCACCCGGAGCTGAGGTATTTCCAGTATTTTCTATTTCTCGAAATTACTGGAAGGCATATACGGTTAGTTATGTATATCCGTAACCGGCCTCTAGATGTAACGTTTAGTTACATCTAGGGGCGGTTACGGTTACAGTCACATATAGGGATAAATTACAGTTATACAGGAAACGGACCAAAACATTGCCAAATGGTCTTCATGTTTGGCGTATTTTGGCGATTTTTCGCCAATTTACCAAAAACATTTGTTGCGAAACATTTCTAAATGTTAAATGAACTTTCCCTGCGTTTCGCCTCTTCAGACTTTTGATGTTACACAAAAGCTCATAACACTGTAATATACAATTCTGGTTAATACAAGGTGTGTTCGAAAAGTTCGTTGAATTTTACCATAAAAAAAGGAAACAAGAGAAACAAGCAAAATAGCTTTACTGGCCTTCAAAGTATTCGCCATTAGCAACAATACACTTTTGACATCGGGTGTACAATTGTTGGAAACTGTCTGCAAACGCTTCTGTCGGTGTGGGTCGAAGCACCGTTGTCACACGTTGTTGGATCTCAGTAATGTCGGAAAAGTGTTGGCCTTTCAGAACTCCTTTGAGGCGGGGAAACAGGAAGAAGTCCGCGGGAGCCAGATCTAGAGAATATGGTGGGCGATCCAAAACTGGAACCTGGTGCCTGTCTTTGACATCCTCCTTTCCGTCTGTAAAGCGTTTAAAACACTCATAAACACACTTTTTACTCACTGCTTCCTGGCCGTAAACTTTCACTAACATGTCATGTGTCTCCGTCGCCGTTTTGCCTAACTTGAAGCAAAACTTTATGCGTTGCTCCATGTCACACTGACAGTCTTTCTCACACTGACTGTGTTAAACTGCTCATAGCGTGCGCTTCCTCTTATCTGTGTAAAATGGCCGTTAGATGGCTCTAGATGACACTTCTCTCACTGCGTCTGCACGGAGTGCAAGATCCTAACCGGCGCGGTTTTTTAATTATGAGACTAATGACCGAACTTTTCGAACACACCTTGTATATTCACCATTTGGCACGTTCATACGGCTGCTTAATTCCTCCGTAGATCTCATCTCATAGAATACTATTTATGTCTCTGGGTATGGTTTTGAAAATCTCTTCAGTGCTATTAAATTAATTACCGAGACTTCTGCATGTACCAAATCTGATAAATAAGCGCTTTTCGTAATTTAATTTACTATTAGGGCTTACAAATTTAATAGGTGTCAGATCAATTTTTGTTTTTTTATTCTCTAAGAGGAAATTCCTCGCAAATTTTATATGAGCAGATAGCGAGTTTACTTCTTTTAGCTGAATATTTGTAATTTCTGCTTTATTGTTTGCTTGTTTGTTTATTTGTGTGTGTATGTGTAATAAGAGTTGAGTTTTATGTATTTTGGTTGCTTGAATTTGTAGCAGTTTGCATCTACTTGCTAATTAACCACGTAAACTTGCTAATTAACCACGTAAAAGGCTAGTTTGTTGTGATTTAAAATTTTGAAGCTTGTTTAGTTTTGCTTTAAAAAATATATACTGGTGAAATTTTAAATAACATAAAATTAACTGGTTAAATTTTAAAAAAGTAAGTTAGGGTAAATTTATTACCATAGAAGAAAGGAAGACTTCTTTGCAAAGATGGTAATAACCTTATAATACAAAAGATGATTACGAGAACGAGTTTTATCTTTTTATCATAAAAGAGAAATGTTTTACTATTTAAAACCTCGAAATTAAATAATAAAAAAACTCCGAAACGTCAAAAAAAGGTTCTGGACTTTAAGAATGTGTATAACAATAAGGGAAAGATATTTTTTATTTGTTTGCTTGTTCACATTCCTCCAATTAATTTAGGAAGTTTCTTCAATTAATTAAAAAAAAGATATAGATAAAAAAAGAGATCAGTCTTCCACCTCAAACAGCAAAAAATATTGTGACCTTTTGGTTCTGGTGAATATAATCCGCTTTACGAAATAAATCGAATTATCTATAGAAGACTTTTGTAAATGATACGAAATAATGTGATTAATTAGTAAGTAAAATAATTTATCATATTGTTTTAAGAGCATTATACTTGAAATAAAAAAAGTAAATTTTAGTTTTTAGGTAAAACGATTAAAGCAAACAATGCATTTAAAAATAAAATAAATAGAGAAATTAATTCTTTATATTTATTTACACAGAATTTACTGATAATTACGTAATACTTTTTCTATCATGTCAATATAATACTTCACGTATATGATTATGATTTTGTTGAAAAGAATAAAAAATGGATTTTGAGGTAGGAAGAATAGCAGTAATTATGGATAAAATTAATCATTATCAATTAATACTTATTAAATTTATCTTTGATGTATTTTGATTTTAATAACGGACTTATTTTTCAAAAGATACAAGAAAGGAATACTTTGTTTCCCTGAAGGAATTCTTAAATGAAGAAAACTTTCGTTGTTTTCTCTCTGATGGATGGTTGCAAAACCTTTGTATATTTTAATTCCATCTGCATAAAAAAGACAACTGTGATAAATCTACAGTTTCATGGTTTATTAAGTAGCAAATTTCCTGTAAAATGGTGTTAATATTTATTTAAGAAGGTAGAGGAAACGCGTGTCATGTGCTTGAAACCTGCAATAATAAAATTTGTGTTTAGGGAGCGTTACCATATTAGAAGACATAAATGAAATGACATCATCTTAAGACTGAATAGTTCGTGTCGTAGTGCAATCAGAGTTAACTCTTTCTCATCGAGAGAGGTCAAAATCTGTTCTCTTTAAACATGTAAATCACCAATTGTGTGAATTTCTCTTGGAATGGATTTACTTTTGTTGGAATGGAAACGACGTCATGCGACTGTTCTGTACGACAGGCACTTTTAACAAAAGGCTTTTGAGTAAAGAAGAGAGTTGAGAAGTTTTGAAGAAAATTAAATTATTCAAAATGACTTGACGGCTAATATATGACAGGTGTCAAAACAAGCATTATAATAATGTTTACATGATCGTCAAGAGCACAGGAACAGTTGCGTGCACTCTGATGGATATTATTAGTAGGTGACTAGGCAGTAAGTTTTATATATCGAACAAAATTGACTTATAAGCATCTTCTCGGAATTTCCTTAGCATAGGAATAGTCTTTCCTTATACAAGATAGTGATTTATGACAAATTTCTTGAAATAATTAGTGCTTTTTTGTGAAATAAAGGCCTGTTTAAGTTTGGAATTCTTATGATTTTAAAATTATTCTACTTATGATCTATTTAGAAATGTTTTTATTCTTGCTTTATTTAATAAAATAAAGTCTTTAAAAGAGTGAAGAAATAATTGTTTCTTATAAGAGAAGTCATACACATAGATTCAGTTTTAGAGAGTTACGTATTAAATAAGACACACGTCTAATTGCGAAACTTTTGTTCGTGTAACGATTTTAGCATCTAAAGTGTCTTTAAGTAAATATATAGGAAATTTAAATTTTTATATTGTCTCCGTAAAGGAAAAATTTTTTTCTTTGGCGATGTTACTAAACAAAGGCAACATCTACTTCCATAGAATCAAAATTACCTGAGAAGTCATTATTTAAAATTTTTGGGAGTCATAGATGAAGACAGTTATATCAGGAAATCTTCAAATTGAATAACTCATAGATATGTTTATGTCGTAAAACCAATATAGCAGAAGTGTGTGTTTTAAATTTTTATTCTTATAATCTTTTATATCAGAAATTTTTACCTGAAAAAATTATGTTTTTAAGATATGGAAAATGAATTGGTTGCATGCATGTTTAGGGAATGTTGTTCAATTTAGTAATACCAATTGCAGAAACTTAAAGCAGTTTCCCTTTGAAGCAAGGACAAGTCCAGTTTAAAGAAGAAAGTGTCGTATTACAGTTTTTTTACTATGCCTGTATTCTATCTGCCTATCAAAACTTACATAGTTTAACAAATAGTTAATATACAAAAATATATTACCTAATTCCCTGGACTTTTAAATTTCGAAATAAAAGGATTGTGATAATAACTCATAGTCAAAACATGATATATAAATTAAATTTTAAAGGAACTACGTTAGGAGACCAAAATTTTCTAGCTTAAGGAACACCCCCAAAATTATTTAAATTGGCACTCATTTCCAGGATTAAATGTGCACATTACACATTTTAAACGCTTCGAACAAAACGCTTTCGAGGTGTTTATTCTTCGCGGATTTCACATCTTATCAAAATATAAAGCTCTGTCATGAAATGAGAGGGAAATATTTGATGTATGTCTTATACAATGAAAAATGCACAACTAAGACTTGAGTAATTAAGGCTCTTCTTGATTAAATATATATGCAAGACTTCATGCGGCATTAATTTATGGTGGGATGACATCACAACAAACTTTCTTTCGATCGTCTGGCACTGCTATTTGGAAGCGCTCACTTTTATCATAAATATATGACCTATGTTTATGTACAGGTTTTACATAACGAATATCTGGGAAGTTAGTTCTCAGGCTGCTAGGCCTCTAGGGATTGAATTGCTTAAAACTGTTTTAGAAGTTAAATTGTTACATAAGAAATCAAAACTGGGTTTATAAAGAATTTTTATGATTTTTATATACTTCTTACTACAGTTTCGTAGCTTTTTGAAATTTTACAATTTCTTCGAGCGTTAGGCTTTAAGCTCAAGTTTTCCGTCTGGAATATTCTTCTTTTGCAAAACTGCTTTCATTGCAATAAGAAATCATTTAACTACTTGAAAATTTCTTTGTCGACGATACGCACATGCAAAAATGCAAATTTATAATGGTGTTAATTAAAAGGTTTCGTGGCATTAATATTTTCTGAGTCTGAAAGCCTACGTCATTCATTTCTTAAAACAAATGTTTTTTAGGGCTCGGTTACTAAGCATTCTAAAGATATTTAATCCAGCAATCACTTTGATGGGAATTATCACAAAGCAAACTAAGGTTATCGAACTGAAAAAAAAGATGCCTTTGTAGAGGACCGCTGAAATGGAAACCGACTCGTATTCATGTTACACAGGAGATAAACACGAAATTTCCCAAGCAGCCAAGCTAACAGTGTTCAGCGATTTTATCGCTTGGTCGTGTCCTGCTTAGCTTTATGCAAATTTCCTGAAATATTGCTTTGTATTAAAACTGAAGATTATTGAAAAGAAAGAAAAGATTTAGTATATTTTGGAACAAAAAAATTCCGAAATGCCCGCTGGTTAAACAACGCATTAAAACCGACTAACTGAATTCTCCCCGACCACTAGCATTATAATTCGTGCTCAAAATATAAGCAACAAACGCTAAAAGAAAAGGTACGAATGTAAAAAGAGGAGTTATAAGATACGATTTACATATGAGGTAGAGGATGAATCGTCGAATGCAAACAGGCAACCAACATTAGCATAAAACACAATCTCACAGTCATACCACAACGCCTTAAAAAAGGGCATGACGTTCCACAAGTTCCATGTCAGTTCACAAGCAGCGATAGTTCCATGTAATTCAAGACAGCCAAATCTGAAAGCATGAGACAGAGACACCATTTGCCCTATGAAGCAAGATAATCCACTATTACGAGAGAGCTGAATGGGTATCGTAGTCTCATCAACAGGTTGTGGAATCATTACCAAAGGGATCAAAACCTCCGTAGAAGACATGGGTCTGGATGCCGGAGAATTACCGCAGCGGAAGACAATCGCTTCTTGTTGCTATGTGCAAGACGCCGTAGATCACTAACAGCACAACAGCTGAAGTAGCATCTCTCTGCTGCTGTACGACGGCGTATATCCCGCTAATCTGTGTCACGTGGATTGTAGGAAAGTGAACTGT